GATTGCTGCAGATAATTTCTTTCTATTTAAGAGTTTCTGCTCTAGTAAAAGTCAGTCCCAAAATGCCACAGTCTCTTTTACTTGTGCGGTTCTTAACCTACACAAGAACAGCACTTCCTTCTCCTTTCTTTTTGTCAGATATTTGTAACCTGGCATTAAAATTAGCAATAACAGCCACACAGAGCTACTATGAAAGAAGAAGATTCTTGACCATGCATTGTAGCACTCATGTATCTCACTACCTTGAATTTTTCCTTGAGGCAGAAATTGGCCCAATGTCCTCTGACAATCAAAAGTATTTACAAAGCAAACGAAATTTAGGAAGTACTATAATAATTAGAAAATGCTGTGAGGGAGCATAATGGATGTAACAGCAGAGGATAATTACTGCAATTGAGGCATGTTCCTGTGAAATTCTAGAGAGAAAAGTAAGAACTCGTTAAGTCTTTGCATTTATTCAAAAAGAGAAAATTAAGTTTTTAAAAGACATCCAAGGATACTGGGAGCTGAACAAAAACTCTCGCACCCTAAGCTTGCCCATCCGAAGAGAAATCAATTTGTTACTGACAGAAAAGCTAGGAATTTTTACTTGAATTCAGTGATTGCAAAATGTGATAGATTAGCAGGATTACATAAGTCCCCTATTCACCAACAGAAAGAGATGCAACACTGAAAGACTGAGGGTGAGCTACCTTCATCATTAATAGCGCCCTTCACATTTTGATGAAGACATACAGCGCTGTAGTCTGATGCATTCATTTGTTGACTTCTCTTTCAGAGTGGCAATACGGGGCCTACACAATTAGTTTCATGTGGGGTGCACTCTCTATAGGAAGAAAATATACCCAGTAGGCCCTGGTCTATTTATCTCAGAAAAGCAGTGCTGATAAAGGGAAAACAAAAACAAACACAAAAAACCCCACTAAAAAAATAATCACTCAAAGCTACTCAGAATATTTATGAAGTTCACATGGAACCTGCCAAGCACTGAGAGTTTGCAGATTTCTGGAGACAACTGTACTTTCTCAGTCTGAAAGAAATGCAAAGATATTAACTAATTATTTATGGGACAACCAATTATTTTGTACCGTATATCTAAGACTGAACATCATGAAATGCTTATTAGTTGAGCAAGCAGGACAGTGGAGCAATTCCCTTTGGAATGGAATGAAGCCAAGGAGTTGGACAGAGAAGCACCCTTAACGAGAATAATTCACTAACATAGACACAATACTGCTCAATTTACCTAGGCACTACATATCTGACCAGTAAAATGTTTCAAGTGCCAGAAAATAACCTTTACATTTTTGCTGGGTTGAAGCAGAGTGGTCTGGAGCTGCAAGTGCTCAGCTCTACAATTTTTAAGAGACAACAGACAGTAGTTGAAGTCAGAAAGTCAAACAAGGAATGATATATTTTTGCCTGGGGAACATACAGAATACAGAGCCTCCGGAGTGCCTTGTGTGCCCTCCTTTCCTTGCAGACGCAACACTGCTTTACCCTTTCCTGCCATATTGTTGGCCTGGGTCAGTTTTGACGTGTGACTCCTGGCAGGGCTCAAACATCCAGGTACACAACAGTGACTATCCTGTAATTTCTATCTTATTTCCAACAAAAAAATAAATCCAATTACATTTACATCTCATTTGCCAAGGAAACACTAGTTGGGAAAGAGCTCTGTATTCCAAATGAATGTTTGAGAGGCCTCTTTGGGAGGATATAACTAAGTCATGGTTCATGGTTTATTCATTGTGAAAGCCAGAACCATGGTGCCCAGTCTTTCTGATGGGCTGTTCAGCATCACATGGAAGCTACCTACTCCATTCCTTCTTCCATCATGACTTGGTAACCAGGCACAACTGCCCCCACCATATGTGAACATCTTATCCTACAGACATGGTATTCCCAGACACATACAGCCCACCATGTCACCAGGATCACATCTCAAGGAACACAACTAGGGAAGACAGCATGGATGGAAGCTAGCTGCCAAAACGGTTTGTCTGGTCCATAATCCCACTGCCTCAGGAACCAGGGTAGTACAAAATGGCCTGCAGCCAGGCTGATTTCCTTCCTGATGGGTCTCATGCAACCTTCTATTAGCTGGCAAGCCTGAACTAGAATATCAGAGGAGATGTGGACAAAAATGTAAACCCTTTCCAGTTCACTGCTAGACCTGAAAGAAATCCAGCTGAAAATCCTAAATCAATTTCATTTAACCCTAAAAGGATTGATTAATTTTCTCTTGCAGTAAGATCATGTCTTTGAGCAGTAGAGGTTAATAACAGATAGTGTTGCATACTTCCGCTAATGTTCTCCGGTTCCTCATCTTTTAACTGAAATCCATAAAGAGGTCACAGCAATAACTAGAGATGATTTTCTTTCTATGCCAATTACTGAGATGGTGGGAGGATAATTTTCAGACTCTGACTGTGATTTTCCAAGTACACTAGGAGACTTGATTTTCCTTCCTCCTCCGTGCAGGAAGATAAGCAACTGCCTGGAGAAGGATAAAGCAAGACGCTTCTATCTTTGCTGAGAGGTTTAAATACAGGTTCATAACACAGATGTATAAACTGAGTAGAAGCTCTAACAGGAAACTACGTCAAGAAGAAGAAACTAGGACTGAGTGTTTTTTCGCACTGGATCAAAGGTAAATGAATATGAGTGGCTAGTATCACTTGAATTGACCCAACTGCTCAAGTGATCATGTTTGTCCTCTGGCTTCTTAAGAAGAAGAGGAATGAATACAAAAAATCTTTTAAATATGGATTTGAAGAGAGCCTTACTCTAATAACGAGGCACAAATATTCTCTTTTATGTAGATCAAATACCCTACAATAATTTCTAATTATCTGTGTTTGGAGCTACAAAATCTGTCCTCCAAAAATGAAGGACAAAATGGGATCTTACAGATAGCTACTGCATAGTTGAGTGAGTCCAGTTACTGGTTCAGTGGCTTCGCCCCAAGCTGCATTATGTGTTATCTGCATCTGAATGGTACTCAGGTAAATGGGAACTTTTAAAACAGTCACTTCCCAGCACATCCTTGCAACTAAATGCCATCTGATCACAACAATCGCAAGAGAAACATAGTAGAAAATCTTCCCACAGGTACACCTTCTTCAGGAAACTAAGAGCTGGTTCATGCCCTTTAATTGAGAAAACAGCAGAAGTTATAACCATTAAAATACAATTTTAGTATATCTGTTAGAACAAAAATAAGTAATCATGCTGTCTTATCAAGACTCCTATTTTGATGTCCCACACTGTTCATGTTGAATATCCAGTATATTCCTGACTAATTTAAAAATTAAAAAAAAAAAGAAAATTATTTTCAACTTCTAGCTTTCATTCTTTACCATGTAGCCTTTTTGTCTCAAGCAGACACTGTAAGAATATTCTGCTTTATTTCTGGCTCAAAAGATGTATCCTCTCTGAGACAACTGGGAACGTGACCATGGAGCATGCAGAGTTATAATGATGAAGCTGCACTTACTGATTCCTTGCTATTCACACT